TNTTTCTTTTCTTCTCTCTCTCTCTCTCTCTCTTGCCTTTCAGTCCTTTTTTTTCCATAAAAATAATTATCAATTAGAATGAGTTAAATGATAATTCTTTATCATTTCATTATTAGATGTTATTATTAGATGTTATAATTCTAGCTAAATTATCAGTATTTTCTAAATGTTATCATTTTCTAATCATTTCCAATTTTGATATGATATAATTCAGCAGCAATAGCTAATAAATATTTCACGTAATGAATCAAAATATCAAACATATTGCTATTATAATATAACAATTTGATATGCATCATTTGAATTATTTGAATAAGTGAAGTGGTAATTTATCATCTCATTACTAGCTATAAGCGAAGTGATAAATTTTATCAAGTAATTACCAGTCGCAAATGGAGTGATAATTTTTATTATCTCATTATCAGCTGTAAGTGAAGTGGTGATTTTCACAAACTAGTTGTCAGTTGCAAGTGAAGTGATAATTTTTTATCATCTTGCTATCAGTTGTAAGTGTGATGATAAATTTCATCAACAATTTCATTATCATCTCACTATCAGCTGTAAGTGAAGTGGCGATTTTTATCAACTAGTTATCAGTTGCAAGTGAAGTGATAATTTTTATCATCTCGCTATCAGCTGTGTGATGATAAATTTTATTATCTCATTATCAGCTGTAAGTGAAGTGATAATTTTTATCTTCACACTATCAGTTATAAGTGTGGTGATAAATTTTATCATTTCATTGTCAGTTATAAGAGAGGTTTACGAATGCTTTCTATTTTAACGATGATGTGAAATTTTCGTAATGTTTCCAAATGCAATTGTTTCACTCATTATTTATTACCTTTTCTATGAATGTGACAAATCGAAAAATGAATGACAAATTTAAATCGAATAAAAAAGGAAGACGAACTTCCGTATTTCTCTCATATAGTTTGGCTATTTGTTAAAGTACTTTAATTATTTTCTTTCTCTTCGTTCTTTTTCTTTTTCCTTTTTTTTTCGTAGTTTTTTGATATTACTTTTGAATAATTTAATAATGCTAATGATCATTTACTTTTTATAAAAATGTACTAAAAGTATTTATTCGTTGAAAATTAACCAAAATTTTCATTCATTTCATTTCATTTCTTCTTCTTTCTTTCATTCAAATAAATTTATAAATTTAAATTAATCTTTTAAAAAAATGATGTCATTAAAATTTCAATTGATCATCTAAAAAATGGTATTTTTAAAATTTCAAATAAATCTTCTTAAAAAAAAAAGTGTTGTTTAAAACTTCTAATAATCTTCTAAAAAATGATATATAAAATTTCAAATTTAGGATTAGTGAGAAGATATCATGATAGCATATGCAATTTACATAATGGAATTCCCGAGAGTGATCAGATGGATGGAAATTTTACTGTGAAAGAAAAAAAAAATGACAATTTTAGCTTTAGTCTGATATCATTTTCCTTTTTTTTTTTTCTTATTTTAGCTTAGTACAATATCTTTGCAATTTTTAGAGTTTAGTGTAAATTTGACAATCATTTTGTTATTTTTCTAGCACTATTGTTTCTTTAGAATTTTTAAAAAATATGGCTAACAATCAAATGTAAATAAGCTTGCTTGCTAATTATATGATAATCCAGAAATAATTATGCTAATTATATGATGATTATGAAATAATTATGCTAATTATATGATCCAGAAATTAACGTGTGTATATGCATATATATATATATATATATGATGTATTTTAGATAAAATCATTTGGCATCATTTTGTCGTATAATTTTTGCTAATTAAATAATAACATTCTTCTGTAAAAACAAATAATTGTAAAAGTTGGTAAAATAAAGTATTTGCTTTAAAAATTTTCAAACAAATAAATTTTATTCATAGCTCAGATTATTTTTAATTAATTAATTATGTACTAGAATATTATAAAATTTTTATGTGTATGTATAAAAATGATTATATATCGTATGTATATATGTGTTCGATAAGAAAAACGAGTTGTCGTAAAATTTTTTGAAAACAATTTTCTCAAAATTTCCAATTTTAGAATAATTTATATTCACAAAAAAAAAAAAAAAAATGAACAGCTGAAAAAAATTTAGATTTTTATTAATAATATTTTCTGTACATTTATAAATAATCTTAGCAAAATTTAAAATTTATTTACAATCAAATTCATAGATCAATTTTCACAGTTTAGAAGTAATTTTAGAAGTACATAGTTTTGTAAATGAAGTATTGCATTTATCATGATATCAATATAATGATATCGATAGTAATGATGATAATAGTAATAGTAATAATAATGAGAATAACAATAATAATAATAATAATAATAATAATAATAACGTAATTAATAACAGCAATAATATAATAATGACAATAAGAATAATACATAATAGTAATAGTGGACAATGATAATACTCTTGACAGCCGCTAATAACTGCAATAAAATATTTGTCAATGATGATAATAATGATAGTGGCAGCAATAAAATAATAAGCTTAGTAACAATAATATTGATA